TGTAAGGAGCTGGGGCAGGAAGGCTTGGAGGCCTGAAGTGATCAGAGATGCTAGAATGCTTTCAGCCCTACTTCTCAACTTCAAAGATAGTTATACACACTGCCCCCTGCTGGCAGGCCTGAGAAGATGCACTGGAGCGTTTTTCTGGATCAAATTCAAATACAACTATGTAAGGGGTCACTTTTATGAATGAAAAATTCATACAGGTGATTCAGGAAGAGTATATTAAAATGAAGCATCTGGCTTTAGCTGTCACTGTATAAATTATATAACACTAGGAAGAGAGAAAATTCTCAGAGCTCTGAAGAATTTTAGCATTTTAGAAATTGAGGTCCTACCAAGAAATTGCACCCAAAGGGTGTCCACTGTCTCAACTGCTCTTCAATCTAGTATTAGAATGCCTAGCTACAGCAATAAGACAAGATGCAAACACAAAGGGGATCCAAATAGGGAAAGAAGAAATAAAACTCTCCCTCTTTGCAGATGTCATGATCTTGTATTTAAAGAATCCCACGGACTCCACTCCCAAATTACTCAAGCTGATTCAAAACTTTGGCAAAGTAGCAGGGTATAAAATTAACCCTCAAAAATCAATGGCTATTTTGTATGCCAACAATGAGAAAAGTGTGGCTGAAATTAGGAAAGCAACTCCATTTGTAATAGCCCACAAAAAATAAAATACCTAAGAATTAACCAAAGAAGTGAACGACCTCTATGATGAAAACTTTAAAAACCTGAAAAAGGAAATCAAAACAGAACTTAGAAAGTGGAAAACCCTCCCATGCTCCTGGATTGGAAGGATCAACATCGTAAAAAGGACAATACTTCCCAAGGCTATCTACAAATTCAATGCAATACCTATCAATATTCCAACCTCATTCTTCAAGGAAATAGAAAAGGCAATCCAAAAATTCAATTGGAACAATAAAAAAACCCAATAGCAAAAACGATCCGTAACAGAAAGAATAGTGCTGGAGGAATATCAATACCAAATCTCAAACTCTACTACAAAGCCATAGTAATCAAAACAGCTTGGTACTGGCACAAGAACAGACCTCAGGACCAATGGAATCGAATTAAAAACCCAGAATGAACCCACAGACCTACAGCCACCTAATCTTTGATAAGGGAGCTAAAACAATAGAATGGAAGAAAGACAGCCTCTTCAGTAAATGGTGCTGGTAAAATTGGTTAACTACTTGTAGAAAACTAAAGCTAGATCTTTAAATATCACCCTGCACCAGAATCAACTCCAAATGGATCAAAGACCTCAGAGTCAAAGCAGATACTCTGAAAACATTACAGGATGGAAT